TACTTAATAAATAGGTTCTGCTTCTGATGGATGGTGTGGCCAAGACATTAGAAAAGAATTAGTTCTGCTTGTACGCTACACAAGTACTGTTGAATAGTAGCAAGACACTCCAGAAGGTTCTAAAGTGTAAGCCCTGATATTTGTCTAAAGAAAATAGTTAGAAGATCTGAAAACAAAAATTTCTACTTACGTCCAGATGCTGAAGACTCAAACTTCTAAAGACAACATGCTCTAAGGTAACTGTCAGAAGATCTGAAGACAGAAGTTGTCACTTAAGTCCAGATGCTAAAGACTCACGTTCCTAAAAGACACTGTGTAGAAACAAAGTTAGAAGATCTGAACATAAATTTTATACTGAAGTCTAGATTCTAAAAACTTAGTTTATAAAAGACAACTTGTTCAAAAAAAAAGTTAGAAGATCTAAAGACAAAGTTTCTAATGAAGTCCATATGCTAAAAACTTAGTTTCTAAAAAAAACTTGTTTCAAAGAAGACAAAGTTTAAAGATCTAAAGACAATGTTTCTAACCGAAGTCCAGATGCTGGAGACTTTGTATTTCTAATAACAAAGTTCTAAAGAGAAGGATTCTTAAAGAACCAAGTGCTAATGATTCTAAAGACATAAGGTTTGAATATTCCAAAGACTTGAATTTCTAAATGTCTGAGGTTATCTACAACAGGTTATCAAGACCATCTGATAAAGACTCTAAAGACGCATCTCTTAAGACTCTGAAGACTTGAAACTCTTTTGATCCAAAGGTTCTCTACAACGGGTTCTGACGACCAAGTGTTGAAGACTCTGAAGACGCAATTTTGAAGACTCTGAAGACTTAAAGTTCTGAAGACCTTATGTTATGTTCCCTCTTCTAACCTCATTCTCGCAGAAGCCTTTGAAGTGCAGAAGGAAAGAATATAACGGTAACATGGTACAATAGTTCACAGTACGAAAAAGCTTTATACCACTACCTCTCCACCAACTTAAAGTGTGGAAGAGATAAGGACGTTGCCATACAACTTGTAACAAATCTTTTTCAAATAGCCAACGAATCTATTTTTCTTGGCTATATAAGAAAAGAATCATATGTTTAAATATGTTGATGAGCTTGCTGCAGGTTGGTTGGCTGGATTCTCAAAGCTGCAAGTTGCAAGTCTCAAGTTGTTGATGTTCAATGTTTAAAAGGAAAGCTGTCATTATAAGAACACAACCAAAAAGCTATCATCCACTATAACAACAACAAGAATTCTACAAGATGTTATTCAAATTATCAATCATATACATCTTAGCAGAATGATGAAAAGCAAGGAGTTGTTGCTCATATCTTTCTCAATGACGAAAGAAGATGAAGAATTCTAAAACTATCAATCATATACAACTTTACAAAATTATGAAGAAGCAAGTAGTTGTTGCTCATAGCTTGCTCAACAAATAAGATGAAGACAAGAAGACTACAAGATGCTGCACTTAACTTAGATTATATTCATCTTTGTAGAAATATTAAAACACAAGAGTTGTTGCTCAGATTGTGTTATTTCTTAAGATCTTTATGTAAATTGTTTGTACATAAAAGTTGTTTCTCAGAATTGTGTTAAACAATATGTACTTAAATTAGGAGTAATGTGCATGATAAGAAGCATTCATGTAATCTCCAGAAAAACAATTATGTTTAGAATTGGTCGGTTCCTCAAGTGATCGAGTGAAGATCATAAGACTTAAGAAGAATTTGGTTGCAGCCATCGTAGATGAAATCCTGGTAGTGGATTCTATTGGATCAATGGTAGTCATATCTTAAAGGGGACTGTTTGAAGGTCAGCCTTCTGGGATCATTGATCGATATCATTAGAAGGAAATCCTGGTAGGAGATTCTAGTGAATCAGATCCTATTGGGTCAATGAACATGATATCCAGTTTGGATCCCTTAACGCATCATTGGATGTTAGTCATCGGTGGTTGCCCGTGTGATTGTAATCAAATTGATTATAGTGGATTAAGTCCTTGAGATCAAGGCGAAATCACCTCAGGAGGGTGGACTAGAGTAGCTCGGGGTTTCTCAAGTGAACAAGGATATATTGCGTGTTCTTTACTTTTTATTATGCTTTAGAGTTTATGTTTTTTAAACTTAATTAGAAGCACTACTTAGAAGTAACAATCAGAAGAATTGTTCAACGAATAATGCTTAGAAGTTAAAGTTTTCAAAGAAAGGAAAATCCAATTCAACCCCCCCCCCCCTTTCTTGTTTTTTCTTCACACCTTAAGGTTCAAGGATAATCTCAAACATTTCCACAATCCATATAAAGACTAACCAAACATATTCAAACTATGAAATTGGACTCTGATTCTTCATAAGGAGATACATAGGCTCGCTGTTAAAACCAAGGCGATTTCACTACTAAAAAATTAAATCCTTTTCTCAACATATAGAAATATTAACTATCAAAGTCCCCATTTTACCCTTAAACCTAACACCTCCCCTCATCTAATTTACTTACAAATTTAGAATCCTTGTACAAACTAGGGTTACCTCTTATTATCCCATCCTTAGGATAAAAATTATTGGTGGCAACATTCAATTTTTGCCGATTATGACACTTGCCTGTGTTGCTCAAGTCATATCAGATGTATTAATATGTCATAGGGAATCTGAAGTGTGACATACCAGAATTTCAATTGGTATCAGAGTAGGCATCCTGTTCTGTTCTGGGTGAGATCCTGGGATGATACTTTCTGTTTTACAAGCAAGGAAGGAACGTATCTACTGAAAAGTTGTTTGAACTTGGATAGTTTATATTTTTGTTTGAATGGTCCCATTAAGTGGAGGATGGACTATTCGTGATAGGGTGTGTATTGGACCTGTCTGTTATTGTCAGTCGTGTAGTTTTGGTGGTGAGCTACTTTGTGGTTTGATTTATTTTCAAACCAATGTTGACCTGTTGCACCTTGAGTGTGGTGTTTTTATGCAAGGGTTATTAATTTTTTCCTAGAGGGTGTTGAGGAGTTTTCTTATTTGTGCTCCGCTTCATATGTATCTGATGGAAAACTCTTAGTGGTTTTTTGAGTTTCTGTTGTCGGGGCTATAGCCATCTTTTCTTCTCTGAAGGTGTATCCCATGGCGTGTGATACTTAGAGGACAACTTCAACCAAATTTATAAATTTGTAAAAGATACTTGAGGTTCATTTCAAGTCCACTCATAAAGGAACTTTTGAATGAGTTTGTTGAAAATAGATTTGAAGAAAGAAAAAAGGATCTCTTGGTGTGTTCCCTATAATGATGTCCTACCAGATGTTAGAACATCACATCAGAATTGTGCAGAATTCTGTTGCTTAAAGGGATGGGACACTACAAGAAAAATGATAGATTGGGACGGTTATTTTGGCTGATTACGACGGTTAAAACCGTCGCAATTTACAATCTACGACGGTAGAAGTACCGTCGCAGAATCGTGCGTCCCCAGCCTATTTCGCGACGGTTGCAAAAACTGTCACGCACAACAGATAGCGACGGTTATATACCGTCATGAATTTGACTTTATTTTTTGTTTTTGTTGTTGTTTGCGACGGTTATTCTACCGCCGTAGGTTAGAAATTGCGGCGGTTTTAACCGTCGTAATCTGATTCATAAATTTCAAATAATATTTTTATTTAAATTATTATTTAGTAAAATAATTTTAAATATAATATTATTTTACTATAATATTTTACTATTATATTTAAATTATTATTTACTTTAATATTTTTTTATTTATAGTATTTTTATTTTATTTTCTATCACTTTTCAACATAATAAAGTTAATTACAATAAAAACATTTAATATCAAATAATCATCAATAATATCAAAAAAATGTGATCAAAGGTAAAAAGAAGTGCAAATTTTACCAATAAACAAGAAAAATTCAAATATCATCAAAGGCCAAATTTCATTTTAATATTTACATTGGTTTGCTACAACTTGAGAGAATTACAAAAAATGTTACAATATTCTACAAACTTGGTAAATATAGACGATAGAAATGTCTTCATTAGTGCTTGTAAATTCCTGGATTTTAGGAATCAGATTTAAACCTAGACCTTTCTCGACTAAGCTCATTGTGAGAGCTTCAAAAACTTGGTTGATGTCTACTTGCACCATCAGTCTTCTCTATGCCCTTGTGCGAGCTAAATCAATGCCTTCCATTACTCACCAAAGCTCAGCTACAACACTACTACATTTTCCATCACAGTAATCACACAAATTATCTGGAAGATTCAAGTGGTTTAGATATTGGTTGGTTTTGATTCCATTATGATATATCATCCACACAAAAACCCTTATTCTTTTAGTAACACTCAGATTCCAAATGCCTTTCCAATGATCCTCTATATCCTTGTTCTTGGTGGAGGTATTACAAGCATTATATCCAAAAACTTCCGACTGAACATGTTCCTTAAATGGCTTCAATTCCAATTTCCATCATCATTAATTAAGTCTGCAATTGTTGTATTCACATTATCTCCAATAGGCTAATTGATGAGATCTTGGAGTCTGATTCCAGGCCCGATTTAAGAATCTTCCCAAGCCCTGATATCTCCCATTATAAGATCACACAACTTGCTTGGAATGCCAACCTCAACTAGGACCTTATCCATAAAAATCTAACTGATCATGTCATATGCCTTAGCTAAATCTACTTTGATGGCAAAAAAGCTCTTCTTGCTTTAAGCTTGTGCATACTATGGAGAATCTCTTGAGTCACCATTATATTATCATGAATATTCCTCCTAGGAATATAACCTGTTTGATTCAGATAAACAAATCTATCCATACAACTGTTCAATATGTTTATAATGATTTTGCTAAAAACTTTATATATAGAGTTACAAAGGGATATTGGCCTGAAGTGATGAACATATTGAGGGTTATCTACTTTAGGTATTAGGAAAAGATCTGAGCTATTTACCTCTGATATGTTAGCTGACTTGATGCATAACTCCTTGATGAAGGTACACACACTACCACCTACCAAATTTCAAGAGTTTTGATAAAAGCCTACACGGTATCCATCTGGACTTGGAGATTTCCAAGGAGCCATGTCATAAACATCATTCTTTATTTTCTCTTTCAACTCTTCATTCAACTGATCTAATATGCTTTCTTCCATGCTTGGAAAGCCACACTTGGTGTGTATCCAACCTGTAGTATCCACATCAGTTGTGTATAAGTTGAGGTAATTGTCCTTAAACATCTTCTTAATAGTGTCTTTGATTGCCTGCATGAGAATGTGATCATTTAAATGGAAACAACAGTTTGCCTTTGATTGCACAGTTTATATTGTGCTTCAAACTTTATTCAGAAAACCACATCAAAAAGGAAATTAGTGAATAACATCAGTTAACATACCCCGATTTCTGTCACAAACCGGCATGATGAACACCTGACCTGTGAAGCGCCATATGGATACATTAGCAATAGCGTACAACTCCCACACTTAACTTGCCCGACCTGATCAGCTGCAGGGAAGAAATGACCTATGATATAAATAGATTGCCACACAAAACGATAATGCATGCCGTATCATGTTTTTTACACAAGATTATTTGCAGCAGCAAGCACGCAACTACCAATAGCAGGACTGTTCTTCCCATCATGAAATTGTTTATGAAAGTATTTAATCAACCAGGTGCATAAAAGCTGAACTTAAAGTGCAAAGTTTCACAGAAAATACACGTTCAAGATAAAAAGAAGCAAAGAGAAAGTAAACTCGCCTTCAAACACAATGTTGACCGTTTGACAGCATGAACATTTGACATGTTTGGCACCTGATGGATACGAAAGCAGACGTCTACAAGAACCACAAACCATTTGAGCAAAACCTGTTAACACATATTTTCTAGTCAAACTCAACAAATTAATACCCAATTCCGTCCCTTGTCAATTGCAGATTGTTAAAATTCCTCTTTGCAATAGTGCTATAGCACTACTATAACCGCCACATGACAACATTTTGTACTAAATACCGTATCTCAAAACAATGGAGGCCGCGATTTGACAACATTCGTTAAAATTTACTTGTCCAATCATTGAAGAACAAAGACTAGAAATAAAACAATGATCGTGCAGTAGGTGATTAATAACAGTGCATAATTTAGAAAAATACAAATTATATAGTAAAATCCATTAGGGTATCTTTGAATATTGAAAGAGAGTGAAGGGAATAGAAAAACAACAAATTCCAAGCAAAACAAGCATAGCAAAAGTGATTTTACCTAGAAAAGTACTCATTTCCTTTAGTAGACTCTGAATCTTCTGTTCTGGAAAAGTGCAGATCATTGACAATATAAGATCATAAGATTCAGTTATTGGATCATGCTTTTGGTAAAGCTAAATCTAAGTTTGTAAGCAAGTCTAAAGCAATTAGAGATATAAAAGGAAGATAGTCACTATACCTCATCATCAAGGAAGACCAACCTCTAAATCCTGCAGAAACAAGATGATTAATGGTGACATTTTGGTACGTTTCAGGTTCTCTTGATACCAAAATTATAGGCCACCCATCAGTTTGAAGGTTCATGTATAATCTTAAAACAAACATGAGCTTTACATGTTTTGCCTCTTTGACACAGTTGCTAATGCCGTCCCTATGAAACCTGCACCAAAATAATGAAGAATGCCATCAAGTTGGTGGAACTACAAATAATGCTATGAAGTAGCCAGAATTATGCAAGTTAGTGCAACAAGTCACTAATATGTTATCACCTCTGATACGAATTTGGAGGAACAATATCATCTATATCCAACAACACCACATCCAAACCATTGTCTGAAGGTCTCAGATTCTTGAAGTAATCATCGATCATAGACACAATTAAATTCAACTCTTTGGCATAATGCCCTCCTTTGATATAATGTATAGTCAGATCTCTACATATGTTTGGAAGATCATATCTCTCTAACCTATTGATCTCAGCATGCAGAGAATACACCCTGCAATAACTGTAGTAATTATTCATATTCACAAGTTCAATAACTCCAGTACTTTTACTTTGACATGATTGCAGCATAATCACCAAAGAAACCAGCCAAGTAATAAGTAAAACTCCAAGAGTGACAAGGGAAACAACGAAAATTGTTGCTGTAAAAGATGACATGTAGAATCCTGAATCTAGACCATAATGGCTAGATGTATCTGTGAAGACAAAAAGAAAAAAAGTTACTACTTGAAAGTGCTATTAATAGCAGTGTTTTAAAAACCTAACTAGACGGATTAAACCGTGAACCGTCATGGCATACCGGAATTCCAAGCAAAACAAGCATAGCAAAAGTGATTTTACCTTATAGACAGCAAACATAAAAGTAGCACCGCAACAGAGCCTACAAAACGCAGATATGGTTAAACTCTAAGCCCATTCAACCACAATGTTCATGGGATTTTGGCATTCATAATCAGAAATACATGCCAACTGGTTCTTCTCATTAGGTAACTCATAAACTAGGTGACTTGATAGTTCCTTATATTCTTTGGGATAATTATGAGAATCTGAAGCAAGGTATTTTGATCTTGAGGTTGGTTTAGGAGAGAGCATGACAAAATATGTATGTAGGTTCTTATCATGTTTGAGTGAGGGTGTCTATTCTGGTGAATTTACAGATTGAGGTGGGGTGAGTTTTAGAGACATTCTCATCATACATGAGTTGGAAGAATCTAAGACATTATTAGAGACAAGGTTCATAGGTATACCTGTGTCATTAACTTTTTCAACTTTTGGTGCAACATGTTCTTCTTCAATAATGGTTTCAAGGGCATGAGAAACAACTTCTTCTGACATGAGAACAACTTCAGCATCTGAAATTCCCTCAACATCCTTCAGCACAACTTTTGCTATAGTTTTCCCTTCCACTCACTTCTAAAGAGCATAAAAATGAAAGGATTATAACCAAAACCAACTCTTTTTCTACAACAATATTACAAATCAATTACAAACAAAATCCAAAATTATACAGAAAACTAAATCAAATCTTTCTTTTTACAATCCAGCCCAGAAATATAATTAACAGAACCAAATCATATAATATTAAATCCAAACTCAGGAAATAATACAGAATCTTCATCCAATTCAATCTCTATTACATAAATCCATATATTACAACAAATCAAAATCAATTACAGTAGTGAATCAAATCCCTAATTGGTTCTAAAATCTCTAATTTGTGCTAATCCAATTTGTAACAGCAAATTGATCTAAAACCATAAAATCTAAAGCCTATAAATACAGAAGAAGAATTAACAGAGGGGGGACTGAAGACAGAAAGGGGTCGATTACAATGAAGAAGAAAATCGAAAAAACGGACGAGAATACAGAGACAGAGGGAGAGAAAACAGAGAACTTGAAGAACGCGAAGAAGGAGATACCAGCGTTGTCGTTGAAGACGAAAAGAGAAAGAGCAATTAGGATTTAAACATCTAAAACCCTAATTGCTAATCACCGTAGCTTCGCCGCCGCTATTCCATTCGAACTCGCCAGAATCTACAAAGCAAGAGAGAAAGAAGATCAGAACAAATCGGACAGAAAGTCATAAAGCAATCGCGAAAGGGGTAAGATCTTTAGCTTTTTGTTTGTTTTTGGTGGTTGGGTTTTGATTGAGAGAGAACTGGGTTTGAAGGTTGGGGGGTGAGAGGCTGCGCGGGAGAGAGATGAAGGGTTCACTGTAAAAATAAAATTGTAACAAGAATAATGAAATGAATAAGAGCTTTTTAAGAGCTTTTTAACTTTTTTACGGCGACGGGTGTTTTACCGTCGTGCCCATGAGAATTTTTAAAGGTTTTGGGTGCGACGGTTGTTTTACCGTCGTGAAATGAATTTTAGGACGGATAATTTTACCGTCGTGAAAGGTTTAAAGGTGCGACGGGTGCTTTACCGTCGTGATATGCCTTTTAGGACGGTTAATTTTACCGTCGTGACTAGTTGTTGGTGAAAAATCAATGTTAAAAGTGTTAAATGGGGGCCGACGGTTGTTTTACCGTCGTAATAATAATATTATGATGGTTAAATATACCGTCGCAAAATAAATGTTAGGGACGGTTGGTGTCAACTGTCGTAAACACTGTCTCTATATGTCAATTACGACAGTTATCACATAACTGTCGCAATTTTTGTGTCGTTAAACACTAATTTTCTTGTAGTGGGATATCATATGCTTTGGATGCTAAACAAATGTGTTTTGATCATATATGTTTGGAACCTTCTCCTGATCTGGAAGAGGAGGCGTCTGGATTGGGTGTCTAAGATATTTCTGGCACATAAACATGGCTTAGATAAGTGTGTTGATCAAGGTATGATCATCATGTTACTTACTCTCGAGGTTAGTTTATTTCTAGTTAAGTAAGAAGGAATGAAGAAGTTGTGCCCTAAGGTCTAATGAAGATTTGTTACCTCAAGCAGGATCCTTGTTGTTGTACCCCAAAATTTTCACTCTCTTTACTCAAGATATTCCTCACAAAGATCTTCAATGTTTCAAGCTTACACAAGTATTGACTAGGTCAAGCCATCTCCTCAATACTGATACTTCAAATTAGGGTTTGAATTTGCACAAGGAAAATTGGACTTCTAATACTCCAAATTACTTTCATGGATCATTATGGACTCTCAAGATTACTCATGTCAAGTTTCAAGTCTTGGATCACAAAATTGCTTAATCAATTGATCATATGACCTAAAATCAATTGTATTGGGTAAAAGTCAATTGTGGTCAATCTACAGTCAAACTTTAAGATTTTGGACCAATATCAACATTTTGAAGTCATATGTATCAATTGATCAAGTTTGGATCACAATTCCCCAAGAAAATTGTTCAAATCACCAAAAGGGAAAAATGATCAAAATTAGGGTTTTGACTGTATTTGACTGGTGAAGGGTTTTTGACCTAATGCATGACCTAATGGCCTGAAGCACAATCTTAGTGATTCAAATACAACATGTTGACCTAATTTCATGGCTCAAAACATTTCTCAAGATCAATTGATTGATAGTTGAAATTCAGTCAATTGATGAAAAGTCAACTGATACACCAAAAGTCAAACTTTGACTTTTTTGTCAAAATTGAGTTTCAAAGATCACATTTCATCAAGAAATTAAAAAATATGTAACTTGATCAACAAGACATCAAGAAATTCAAAAGGCATTTTGAAAGGTCAAAGTTTTCAAGACATAGAAAATTTTCTAAGTGTTTTTAAGCCTTATTTTTTCATGACTTCATGCCAAATTTTCACTAAAATGCAAGATGATTCAAAGAAAACTTCCAACATGAAAGTTGTAGATCTGGATGAGATCTACAACTTTTATTTAGTGATCAAGTTCTAGAAGTTCTTATATTTTGAGTTATGAATTCACAAAGTCATGCACGTTTTTCTTAAACTTTGAATAAATATGATCTTTGAACCATTGTATGAAACTTTGATTATGCTCTCGTACAATCCAATTTTAATTTCTATTCGGATTTAAACCCCGGAGTACATCCTTGTGCATTTCAACATACGGCTCAACCTCATTGTCATTGTGTAGAACATATAAATACACTTGATCCCGTTCAACCCTTGATATTGTCACAATTTTATTTCCGATTAAATTTATTCCTTCCTTCCTCCCTAAAATATGAGATTTAGGTAGTCCAATAGATTTAGTATTAGCCAAATATTCAGTACAAAAACTCAACCACTTATTCAACAATGTATTGCTCAACCATACAACCTTTTGGCCGACTTTGATTTTTCACGTACCCTTTTAATATTTTCATATAACGCTCAACATGGTACATCCATCTCATATAAGCTGGTCCACACAATTGTGTCTCTTTCACATGATAAACAACAAGATGTACCATAATGTCAAAAAATGAGGGAGGAAAATATATTTCAAGCTCACACAAAGTAATAACTATTTCTTTTTGCAATATTGGTAAGATCTCAGGATCGATCACCTTACTACAAATTGACCGGAAGAAAAAACACAATTTAGTTATGACGCTTCTTACTTTTTCTGGCAAAATAGAACATATACCTATTGGTATAAAATTCTCCATTATAACATGCAAATCATGTGTCTTTAAACTCTTTAACTTGAGGTCTTTCATAGACACAAGTCTTCTAATATCTGAAGAGTAACCTTCTAGAACTTTAACTTCACTTAGAAACTTACACAATATTTTTTTCTCCTTTCTAGATAAAGTATAAGCAGCAGGCGACATATATGTTCATGTTCCTTTCTTCATGGGTCCTAATTCAGTTCTAATTCCCATCTCTATCAAGTCCTTTCTTGATTTAAGGCCATCCTTAGACTTTCTTTGTATATTGAGTAACATACCAATAACACTTTCAAATACATTTTTTTCAATATGCATAACATCAAGAAAATGTCTTACATACAATGACTTCCAATACGATAATTAAAAAAAAATTGACCTCTTCTTCCACCCACTTTTGACAAGCGTATTTGCAAAAGGCTTGCCAAACTGAGTACTCATATCTTTCACCTTCTCAAAAAATTGGTCACCTGTCAACATAGGTAGAGCTCTATCATGTTATGGATTTCCATTGAATGCCTTTCTCCACCCACGGTAGTGATGATTAGAATTTAAGTATCTACGATGACCGAGAAATACATTCTTTTTACAAAATTCTAATCGCTTCCAATTTGTGTGTTCTTCACAAACAGGACACGCTTTTTGACCTTTAATTCTATACCCTGATAGATTTCCGTATGCCGGAAAATCATTAATTGTGCCAAACAACATCGCTCTCAAATTGAAACTCTCTTTCCAATATCCATCAGACACCTCCACACCGTTCTCCCAGAAAATCTTTAAATCTTCGATTAACGGTGTCAAGTATACGTCTATGTCATTCACTGGTTGTTTAGGTCCAGAAATTAACATAGATAACATCATGTAGTTGCGCTTCATACATAGCCATGGAGGTAGGTTATAAATCATTATAATCACAGGCCATGTAGAATGTAAGATACTTTAAAGACCATGCAGGTTCATTCCATCTGTAGATAATGCTAAGAAAAGGTTTATTGCTTCTCCTTAAAAATCAGGATAATCATTATCAATTTTTGACCACTGTGGTGAATCTTCCAGATGTCGAAACTTTCCATCAATAATTCTTTCATCTACATGCCAAGTCAAGTGTCTTGCATCAGTTTCACCACGAAACATGCGTCTAAATCTCATAATTATTGGAAAATACCATAAGACTTTTGCTGGAGATAATTTTTTCTTATATCGAGATAAACCGCATTTAGGACACTCATTTAACAATGCATATTAGTTTCGAAACAAAATGCAATCATTTGGACAAGCATGTATCTTATCATAGCTCATGCCAATAGAACATTATCCTTCGGAAGAATATCTTTCATAAGGACTAATAACTCTGAAACTTTTATCCAACCATCTTTGCCCGCCTTTAAGTTGTACAACTTTAATACTACAGACAGTCTTGTGAATTTAGTGCAACCTTTATACAATTATTTCTTCGACACGATCACAATCGTATGTATCTCTGCCATTGTTGTCTGAAGCATATGTCGTACTATCCCCCAGTTCAACATTCCCGTTACTTTTCTCACTATAGAATATCCAACATGTGTAACTTCGATCAATTCCACGCCTCAATAAATGCAATTGCAACCCAACTGCGTCAACCCGACCCACAAAACAACAACTTAAACAAGGACGTTTCATTTGATTGGCGTCTTCGGTGTGTTGAACAACAAACTTAACGAATTCCAATATCCCATTCTCGTACTTTTTGGAAAATCGATTGGCA